CAGAGAGAGAGGGTTATTGATCCCCCTTATCCATACCCTGTATCTGCTCCCCTTACAGGTACAGAGAGAGAGGGTTATTGATCCCCCTTATCCATACCCTGTATCTGCTCCCCTTACAGGTACAGAGAGAGAGGGTTATTGATCCCCCTTATCCATACCCTGTATCTGCTCCCCTTACAGGTACAGAGAGAGAGGGTTATTGATCCCCCTTATCCATACCCTGTATCTGCTCCCCTTACAGGTACAGAGAGAGAGGGTTATTGATCCCCCTTATCCATACCCTGTATCTGCTCCCCTTACAGGTACAGAGAGAGAGGGTTATTGATCCCCCTTATCCATACCCTGTATCTGCTCCCCTTACAGGTACAGAGAGAGAGGGTTATTGATCCCCCTTATCCATACCCTGTATCTGCTCCCCTTACAGGTACAGAGAGAGAGGGTTATTGATCCCCCTTATCCATACCCTGTATCTGCTCCCCTTACAGGTACAGAGAGAGAGGGTTATTGATCCCCCTTATCCATACCCTGTATCTGCTCCCCTTACAGGTACAGAGAGAGAGGGTTATTGATCCCCCTTATCCATACCCTGTATCTGCTCCCCTTACAGGTACAGAGAGAGAGGGTTATTGATCCCCCTTATCCATACCCTGTATCTGCTCCCCTTACAGGTACAGAGAGAGAGGGTTATTGATCCCCCTTATCCATACCCTGTATCTGCTCCCCTTACAGGTACAGAGAGAGAGGGTTATTGATCCCCCTTATCCATACCCTGTATCTGCTCCCCTTACAGGTACAGAGAGAGAGGGTTATTGATCCCCCTTATCCATACCCTGTATCTGCTCCCCTTACAGGTACAGAGAGAGAGGGTTATTGATCCCCCTTATCCATACCCTGTATCTGCTCCCCTTACAGGTACAGAGAGAGAGGGTTATTGATCCCCCTTATCCATACCCTGTATCTGCTCCCCTTACAGGTACAGAGAGAGAGGGTTATTGATCCCCCTTATCCATACCCTGTATCTGCTCCCCTTACAGGTACAGAGAGAGAGGGTTATTGATCCCCCTTATCCATACCCTGTATCTGCTCCCCTTACAGGTACAGAGAGAGAGGGTTATTGATCCCCCTTATCCATACCCTGTATCTGCTCCCCTTACAGGTACAGAGAGAGAGGGTTATTGATCCCCCTTATCCATACCCTGTATCTGCTCCCCTTACAGGTACAGAGAGAGAGGGTTATTGATCCCCCTTATCCATACCCTGTATCTGCTCCCCTTACAGGTACAGAGAGAGAGGGTTATTGATCCCCCTTATCCATACCCTGTATCTGCTCCCCTTACAGGTACAGAGAGAGAGGGTTATTGATCCCCCTTATCCATACCCTGTATCTGCTCCCCTTACAGGTACAGAGAGAGAGGGTTATTGATCCCCCTTATCCATACCCTGTATCTGCTCCCCTTACAGGTACAGAGAGAGAGGGTTATTGATCCCCCTTATCCATACCCTGTATCTGCTCCCCTTACAGGTACAGAGAGAGAGGGTTATTGATCCCCCTTATCCATACCCTGTATCTGCTCCCCTTACAGGTACAGAGAGAGAGGGTTATTGATCCCCCTTATCCATACCCTGTATCTGCTCCCCTTACAGGTACAGAGAGAGAGGGTTATTGATCCCCCTTATCCATACCCTGTATCTGCTCCCCTTACAGGTACAGAGAGAGAGGGTTATTGATCCCCCTTATCCATACCCTGTATCTGCTCCCCTTACAGGTACAGAGAGAGAGGGTTATTGATCCCCCTTATCCATACCCTGTATCTGCTCCCCTTACAGGTACAGAGAGAGAGGGTTATTGATCCCCCTTATCCATACCCTGTATCTGCTCCCCTTACAGGTACAGAGAGAGAGGGTTATTGATCCCCCTTATCCATACCCTGTATCTGCTCCCCTTACAGGTACAGAGAGAGAGGGTTATTGATCCCCCTTATCCATACCCTGTATCTGCTCCCCTTACAGGTACAGAGAGAGAGGGTTATTGATCCCCCTTATCCATACCCTGTATCTGCTCCCCTTACAGGTACAGAGAGAGAGGGTTATTGATCCCCCTTATCCATACCCTGTATCTGCTCCCCTTACAGGTACAGAGAGAGAGGGTTATTGATCCCCCTTATCCATACCCTGTATCTGCTCCCCTTACAGGTACAGAGAGAGAGGGTTATTGATCCCCCTTATCCATACCCTGTATCTGCTCCCCTTACAGGTACAGAGAGAGAGGGTTATTGATCCCCCTTATCCATACCCTGTATCTGCTCCCCTTACAGGTACAGAGAGAGAGGGTTATTGATCCCCCTTATCCATACCCTGTATCTGCTCCCCTTACAGGTACAGAGAGAGAGGGTTATTGATCCCCCTTATCCATACCCTGTATCTGCTCCCCTTACAGGTACAGAGAGAGAGGGTTATTGATCCCCCTTATCCATACCCTGTATCTGCTCCCCTTACAGGTACAGAGAGAGAGGGTTATTGATCCCCCTTATCCATACCCTGTATCTGCTCCCCTTACAGGTACAGAGAGAGAGGGTTATTGATCCCCCTTATCCATACCCTGTATCTGCTCCCCTTACAGGTACAGAGAGAGAGGGTTATTGATCCCCCTTATCCATACCCTGTATCTGCTCCCCTTACAGGTACAGAGAGAGAGGGTTATTGATCCCCCTTATCCATACCCTGTATCTGCTCCCCTTACAGGTACAGAGAGAGAGGGTTATTGATCCCCCTTATCCATACCCTGTATCTGCTCCCCTTACAGGTACAGAGAGAGAGGGTTATTGATCCCCCTTATCCATACCCTGTATCTGCTCCCCTTACAGGTACAGAGAGAGAGGGTTATTGATCCCCCTTATCCATACCCTGTATCTGCTCCCCTTACAGGTACAGAGAGAGAGGGTTATTGATCCCCCTTATCCATACCCTGTATCTGCTCCCCTTACAGGTACAGAGAGAGAGGGTTATTGATCCCCCTTATCCATACCCTGTATCTGCTCCCCTTACAGGTACAGAGAGAGAGGGTTATTGATCCCCCTTATCCATACCCTGTATCTGCTCCCCTTACAGGTACAGAGAGAGAGGGTTATTGATCCCCCTTATCCATACCCTGTATCTGCTCCCCTTACAGGTACAGAGAGAGAGGGTTATTGATCCCCCTTATCCATACCCTGTATCTGCTCCCCTTACAGGTACAGAGAGAGAGGGTTATTGATCCCCCTTATCCATACCCTGTATCTGCTCCCCTTACAGGTACAGAGAGAGAGGGTTATTGATCCCCCTTATCCATACCCTGTATCTGCTCCCCTTACAGGTACAGAGAGAGAGGGTTATTGATCCCCCTTATCCATACCCTGTATCTGCTCCCCTTACAGGTACAGAGAGAGAGGGTTATTGATCCCCCTTATCCATACCCTGTATCTGCTCCCCTTACAGGTACAGAGAGAGAGGGTTATTGATCCCCCTTATCCATACCCTGTATCTGCTCCCCTTACAGGTACAGAGAGAGAGGGTTATTGATCCCCCTTATCCATACCCTGTATCTGCTCCCCTTACAGGTACAGAGAGAGAGGGTTATTGATCCCCCTTATCCATACCCTGTATCTGCTCCCCTTACAGGTACAGAGAGAGAGGGTTATTGATCCCCCTTATCCATACCCTGTATCTGCTCCCCTTACAGGTACAGAGAGAGAGGGTTATTGATCCCCCTTATCCATACCCTGTATCTGCTCCCCTTACAGGTACAGAGAGAGAGGGTTATTGATCCCCCTTATCCATACCCTGTATCTGCTCCCCTTACAGGTACAGAGAGAGAGGGTTATTGATCCCCCTTATCCATACCCTGTATCTGCTCCCCTTACAGGTACAGAGAGAGAGGGTTATTGATCCCCCTTATCCATACCCTGTATCTGCTCCCCTTACAGGTACAGAGAGAGAGGGTTATTGATCCCCCTTATCCATACCCTGTATCTGCTCCCCTTACAGGTACAGAGAGAGAGGGTTATTGATCCCCCTTATCCATACCCTGTATCTGCTCCCCTTACAGGTACAGAGAGAGAGGGTTATTGATCCCCCTTATCCATACCCTGTATCTGCTCCCCTTACAGGTACAGAGAGAGAGGGTTATTGATCCCCCTTATCCATACCCTGTATCTGCTCCCCTTACAGGTACAGAGAGAGAGGGTTATTGATCCCCCTTATCCATACCCTGTATCTGCTCCCCTTACAGGTACAGAGAGAGAGGGTTATTGATCCCCCTTATCCATACCCTGTATCTGCTCCCCTTACAGGTACAGAGAGAGAGGGTTATTGATCCCCCTTATCCATACCCTGTATCTGCTCCCCTTACAGGTACAGAGAGAGAGGGTTATTGATCCCCCTTATCCATACCCTGTATCTGCTCCCCTTACAGGTACAGAGAGAGAGGGTTATTGATCCCCCTTATCCATACCCTGTATCTGCTCCCCTTACAGGTACAGAGAGAGAGGGTTATTGATCCCCCTTATCCATACCCTGTATCTGCTCCCCTTACAGGTACAGAGAGAGAGGGTTATTGATCCCCCTTATCCATACCCTGTATCTGCTCCCCTTACAGGTACAGAGAGAGAGGGTTATTGATCCCCCTTATCCATACCCTGTATCTGCTCCCCTTACAGGTACAGAGAGAGAGGGTTATTGATCCCCCTTATCCATACCCTGTATCTGCTCCCCTTACAGGTACAGAGAGAGAGGGTTATTACCTATACCCTTTTCCCCTCGTTTTGTGCCCGCCACTGTGCCAGCAAGACATAAAGGACGCGCGCAGGGTTGTAGCGGTGTATGGAGCAAAGAGTTTCATATCATATGAGATTCGCCAATCTCCCTTTCTCCATCCCCCTCGTCTTGTGCCCACTGCAGTGCAAGCAAGACATAGAGGACGTGCGCAGGGAGGTGGCAGTGATGGAGTCGACCACTTGTAGCATATGATCCATGGTGTCGACCTAAAGCTCGTTCTTTGCTGCTCTCTCTTCTTGCTATGCCCGCTGCAGTGCCAGCAAGACATAGAGGACGTGCGTAGGGAGGTGGCGGTGATGGAGATGCCGATCCGCACCATATGAATGAGTGAGTTATTGCCCCCACACCTACTACCCCTTCCTCTTGTTCCCACTGCAGTGCCAGCAAGACATAGAGGACGTGCGCAGGGAGGTGGCGGTGATGGAGATGCTGCAGGGCCACCCAGACGTGGTCAACCTGAGGAGCACATTCGAGGATGCACAGGTGGGCAAGGGTTGTTGTCATGGGCTGTTACAGAGGCACACAGCAGGTTAAACGTGCAAGCACATGCTGCAGGGCCACCCTGGCGTGGTCAACCTGAGGAGCACGTTTGAAGATGCTCAGGTGAGCCGGGAGCTGACAATTGTAGTGTCTGAAACAGGAACAAAGCACATGGAACGCACACACGCATGCTGCAGGGCCACCCAGACGTGGTCAACCTGAGGAGCACGTTCGAGGATGCACAGGTGCGTGTGTGGGCAAGGTCTGGTCATTGACTGTGTGGGCATGGCGTGGCTAGGGGAAGAATGGACAGAGCACATTGAACACCAAGCACATGCTGCAGGGCCACCCTGGCGTGGTCAACCTGAGGAGCACGTTTGAAGATGCTCAGGTGAGGTGGGAGCTGACAATTGTAGTGTCTGAAACAGGAACAAAGCACATGGAAGTTGGAACGCACACACTCATGCTGCAGGGTCACCCCCCGGACGTGGTCAATTTCCCGAGCACGTTTGAAGACGCACAGGAGGTGTGTGGGTGGGTGAGGTGTGGCAGTTGACTGGTGGAGAAACACACAGCACATTGATCACGCTCACGCATCCTGCCGAGCCAACTAAACGCGATCAACCTGAGTGAAGAAAATGTGGGAACAAATGGTTCGGGGAGTGGGATGGAGGAGGAGAGTCAGAAAGAAGAAGGAAAATATTACCGAGACTTTTTCCCTTTTCCCCCAACTTTCCCTCATTCTTTTCCTTTCCTTCCCTCCCCCGTTTTCTCCCACCACCTCTGCCCGCACACAACGAAACCCCCCATCCCACCCCTCAGGACGTGCATATGGTGATGGAGCTGTGAGTGTGAGGGCGGGGAGCTATTTGATCACATCAAGGCCCAGGGCAAGATCAGCGAGGCTGAGGGGAAGCCTCTCCTCTGTATTCACCATCTCCCCTCTCCTCCCCCCTCCACCCCCCGTTCCCCCCTTCACTTCCCGCCTCTCTTTCCCCACCACCCCATCCCTCAGGACGTGCATCTGGTGATGGAGCTGTGTGAGGGGGGAGAGTTATTTGACCGCATTAAAGCCAAGGGCAAGTTCAGCGAGGCCGAGGGCGCACGGGTGCTGCGCACGGTGATGGGCGTGCTGCAGCACTGCCACGACCTGGGAGTCATGCACCGCGACTTAAAGCCCGAGAACATCCTGCTCAACAGCAAGGAGTCGGACACGGATTTGAAGGTTATCGACTTTGGCGTTGCCACCTTTTTCCAACGAGGTGAGGGGGTGTGAGTGGGTGTGAGTGTGTGTGTGAGTGGGTGCGAGTGTGGGTGTGTGTGCGCGTTCAAGTGGGTGTTGTTGGGGTATGTACTCTAGTGGGTGTGAGCCTGTGTGTTGAAGTGGAGGCACGGGTGCTGCGCACGGTGATGGGCGTGCTGCAGCACTGCCACGACCTGGGGGTCATGCACCGCGACTTAAAGCCCGAGAACATTCTGCTCAACAGCAAGGAGTCGGTTACGGATTTGAAGGTTTTTGACTTTGGCGTTGCCACCTTTTTCCAACGAGGTGAGGGTGTGTGGGTGTGTGTGTGTCTGAGTGTGAGTGGGTGGATAATGAGTGTGTGTGTGTGTGTGTGGGTGTGGGTATGTGTTCAAGTGGAAGCAAGGGTGCTGTGCATGGTGATGGGTGTGCTGAGAGTGGCACATGCATGCCCCGTCAATGGAGAGAGTAGGCGAAGCCCCGTCAATCGCATGCGACCATGGCTTCGCCTACTCTTTTCAATGAGGTATGCGCAACACATTGCAGGCACCCGCCTCATCTCTCCTCATCTCCCTTCACCTCCGCATCCCTGCTCCTTTCCCCCATCACCAAGACTCCAGGCAAGCCTTGCACAGACATCACGGGCAGCCCATACTACGTCGCGCCATAAGTGCTCGCCGATAAATACGGCCCAGAAGCTGATATCTGGAGCGCAGGGGTGGTGCTCTACATCATGCTGTGCAGCCTGCCGCCCTTCTGGGGCACCACCAACCCTTCCGAGACACCACCCACCAGCAATACCACCTTCAAGATGCCTCAATGCCGCCCTTCTGGGGCACCACCAACGAGGCCATCTTTGAAGCAATCAAAGAGGCCACGCTCAACCTTGTGAGGCTCTCCCCTCTCATCCCCTCCCCCCTCCCTGCCTCTCCCCCCCACCCGACCGCACCTCCCCCCTCACACCCCCCTCTTTCTCCCCAGGCAAGCCATGCACGGACATGGCAGGGAGTCCGTACTATCTCGCTCCCGAGGTGTTGGCGGAAAAGTACGGTCCAGAGGCGGACATTTGGAGTGCGGGGGTGGTGCTCTACATCCTGCTGTGCGGCCTGCCGCCCTTCTGGGGCACCACCAACGAGGCCATCTTTGAAGCCATCAAAGAGGCTACGCTCAACCTCGTGCGCCCGCCCTGGCCTAACATCTCTGAGGAGGCAAAAGACCTTGTGCGGCAGATGCTCAACCGGAATCCAAAGAAGCGGATCACGATTGAAGAGATTCTGGGTAAGTTTGGTCTTTGCTCAGGAAAGGAACGCTGCTTTTGAGACTTTGTGGTGTTGCCTTGGTTGTGGAAGTTTGTTTTTTTTCCTGTCACTCCAGCAGCCCTGTTAATGTCGTGCTTTCATATTTGTCTACCTCTTTTCTCTCTGTCTGATTTTCCAGAGCATCCTTGGATCGTGAAGAATGCAGGCCCACCATAACAGTTGCTTGTGCTAAGCTTTCAATAAAAGAAACCGTCCGTTACTGGCTTAGCACTGATGAGGGGTGGTAGCTTTGGCTTGTGGTGGTTTCTGTCCTTAGGCGTGCAAAAATGGGCAGCTCACTAGCCACTCATTAGCCTTAGGCATCTGGGATCCGTTTTTAGGTAACTGGTTTCTGCTGGTGCAACACTCGCTCAAACTTTGAGGTGTTTCTCTGGAAGCGAATGTGCTTCCGGATACAAATGTCGACAGAAAATGATTGGCCAGGGAGTGTATCATGCTGCTTTCCTTGTACAGTAGCAAATGCTGCTGCTGAACCAACACGCAGAGCAGGGCGATTTGCTTGCTTGCTTGCTCCCGTGAAAAGCCTGCACTGTGCCTTCTCCAAACAGCACTCACTGCTGCACCTTTTCCTGACGAAATGGAATCCACGCATTCGTGCTTGCAGGTCGACACTCATCACCGCCAACGTTTCTTTCTTTCCAACAGGTGTTGCCGTGCTCGCACTCCACCCTCCTTGACACGATGCCAGCATAACCTCACCATTTCACGCAGCTCAAGAACCGCGCTGCATCAAGATTTTCCCTCTCGTGTTCTTCTACCTCTTGCACGTGATTCAGTGTCCACCTGCATGTTGCTACTGCTTCTTGAGCTCGACTGTTAATCAATTCAATCAATCTTTGTCCTTTGGACCGCTTTTTACTGGCGGCATGCACGAATACACTGCGTAGGCCGCAGTTTTCGAAGCGCAACAGGAAGCCAAAGGTAGCGAACAAAGCATAATCGTACTTGTGAGGCCGTGACGTCTCCCGTTATCTGTGTTCATGCGTTCGTCATGTCGGCTGCAGAGTGATGGCAGCGTTTAGTCCTTGAAATCTAAGGCTCAGCAATAACTGTCGAGATGCAACAATGGGCTTAGATTCACATATGTCAAGGCATGGCCGTTTTTCCCAACTTATTGGGTTGGTGGTTGTGGAGGTCGGGCTTCATGTCCTCCTTGGCAGTCCCCGTGTCGGGCAGCAGAGATTTGACCCATCCCAAGGTGTGGTAGCTTCTGCTCAGATTTGTGGTGGGATTGTCTTTCCCCCAAAATCCTTTATCTTCGGAAATGTAATCAAGAAAGGTGTTACGAGTGCTTGGGTTTCACGAACGAGATGAATTGCAGTCCAAGAACTACAGATGGTCTAAAGCGAGGATAAATAAGCATGAACGAGCTAGGCGAGGACCTCGGCCAAAACGAGGCTAGAAAAAGCTGGCGAATGGTGCGGTGGCGCCTCGGGAGTGGCTCGGGGCGAAATAGTAGGCCCAAGATCCTGTCAATATCTCCGATATTGAGAGCCTACAGAAAGAATTGTAATTCATTACAGAAAAAAACAGAAGAAAACCAGTGAAAAGGTTTACAAAATAGCTACATACCAGTGAATTGTAATTCATTTTCTTAACCTATATACCTATATGAGGAAAAAAAAACACATATTTTTTTTATGGCAGCATGTTTTTCACCGCCTGCAAAAATTTTCAGGCGTCATGCTGACGGCTCTTCCCTTGGTAATCCCCCCTGACATGATTTTCCCAAGTTACCCCGCTGCTAGAGTGCGAGCGCGAATGGGGTCGCAACTTCAGCGGATGGCGTAACCTTGAGCACGTAGACTGCTTGCGTGCCGAAGGGCTGAACTGCGACTCCGAAGGGATGGTGGGAGCTTTGTGAGTGCTGGCTTGGCACCATAAGAGCTGTGGTTGCTCATTCTTCAACACCCCTATCGCATCTCTCCATGGCTTTTTTTCCTTTCCCTCTTTTCCAGCCTCACATACTTCTCATTATCTCGCTTCTCCCTTTCATTTTTTTCTCTACTCCAGGTTGCACTTATTGCACCAATTCCCCCCTCTCCCCCTCTCCCCTCCCCCCACTTTTCCTCAACCCCACTTTCCATTCCCTTACATTTTTCAGGATTGTCAAATCCCTCGGGGTAGAGGGATCTATTCCTTCTGCGATCGGACAGCTCGTGCACTTGAGATACCTGTAGCACTTGAGGAAGTTTCCTGGGATGCTGCATGAGGCATTCTTTTACACCGCCGTTATGGGCTTCTGACGAAGGTCATGATATTGTTGCATTCACCTCAATCTGCTCCTCCCAACCTACCTTTAAAGAAAACAAAAGAGATTTAACCTGGTACTAAAATATTCAATTGAACTTTCAATCCTTACCTCAAACATACGTCTGCTGTCTGAACTTAGATCCTCAATCTCGGGACAATCAATAAGGCCTGGGCTGGTGCAATGTGCCTCATCTTACTGCTGGAATTCTATAATTGTATGGTTCCACGCCCCACCCCTCTGACCGTGTCATTTTATTCTCCAAACTGATTTGTTATAAGCAGGAGCCTGGGTGACAACAAGCTCACTGGATCCATTCCTGCAGCCCTTTCAACCCTTGTGAACCTGGAGTATCTTTCCGTGCCGCATGTTTCTCTGTCTGCGACTTTTGAGGCGCCTCAGAATGACCTTTGAGGCGACTTTTGAGGCGACTTCTGAGGCGCCTCAAAAGCTCACTGCATCCATTCCTGCAGCCATTTTAACCCTTGCAAACCAGGAGTATTTGTCAGTGCCGCATGTTTCTCTGTCTGTACTGGGCATTTGCTTTTGAGTCGACTCAAAAGCAAGCTCACTGTATCGATCCCTGCAGCCCTTTCAACTCTTGTGAACCTGGAGTATCTGTTCGTGCCGCATGTTTGTCTGTCTGTACTGGGCATTTGTCTTTTGAGTCGACTCGAAAGCAAGCTCACTGGATCGATCCCGGCAGCCCTTTCAACTCTTGTGAACCTGGAGTATCTGTTCGTGCCGCATGTTTGTCTGTCTGTACTGGGCATTTGTCTTTTGAGTCGACTCGAAAGCAAGCTCACTGGATCGATCCCGGCAGCCCTTTCAACTCTTGTGAACCTGGAGTATCTGTTCGTGCCGCATGTTTGTTGAGGTCCTGAGACGGTCCCCCTATTTTGGCCTTCCCCAATGACTTTTTTCGGGGCTCTCGAAAATGTCCCACATCTGTCCACAACCCCGAAAGAGACTTTCGGAACAGTGTACAGTGGTTCCCGGATACGTTCCGTCCTAAAACTGTCCTGCAGTGCAAAACATTCTGTCACAAATCTGTCCATCAAACCGCAATGTCCTAGTCCTTCCAAAAGTTTGCAGACCGAAAGGTCACAAGTTCGAATCCTGTGATAGTAAATTTGGCACGATGCATATCTTTATTTCAATCAAGATTGCCTTGTGAGATTTTAGTGATGCATATGATAAAATCTGAGCTTAGGTTAATGGTTTGAATTAACTTCGAGCGCGATCGATATTGTAGTAATATTCAACATTTTTCATTACATTCAGGGTACAATGCAAAAAATCATAGTCCAGTTACCACACATAACGTCGATTGAATGTTATCGAATCCGCTGTTAGCAGGTGCAGTGCGAATTTCAGGTAACTATTTTGAGATTCTCGCCAGTGTCGTAAGTAAGACGCGCCCCCCCCGCCCCTCACAGGCAATCAATCGAGGGGGAAGGGGAGGCAAACTTGTCGCCAATTTTGTAAGTCCTCCCCTTCCCCCCCGCCCCTTACGAACAATCGATCGGGGGAGGAGGGGAGGCGAAATTCTCGCTTCCTCCCCTTCTTCCCCCCCCTCCAGCCCTCTCCCTCACGAACAATCGATCGAGGTGGGTGTTGTGTGATGCTATCATTCGCATTCACGTCTGTCTGCCTCCCATCATGTGTTCGTGCGTTGCATGCGTGGTGTGAGCGTATGCAAGAAATTTGTGTTCCGTGTGGTTTGGTTTTTTCTGAGTGTGTGTGAATGCTATTCAGATTGAGCAGATATCTCAAGTGACTTTTTTGCTCAAGAGCTTTCCGACGAGCCAAGAATCGTCGCGATCGGAGCAATATCAAGAAAGTTACGGACATTGGAGTTCGTATGCTTTCTGTACTTTGGTTGCGGCGACTTTGGGAAGTTGTGGAAGTGACTCAATATGGGGTACAGACTTTTGGGGTTGGGAATTCGAACCCATCACTGTAGAATGCTGCCATGTGGTTGGGTGAAGCCAAACCAGGTTGGCAAGTGTGGCCAAGTGGGTTGAGGTGGATGGCATGAGTTGGGAAAGTGACAAATGTGAAAGTGGGGTTGCCTATGGAGAGGGGAATTGTGTGGCATGGGGTTTCCTTTGGTTGGGGACTCCCTTGGGACCTTCCCTCTCGTCCTCCTCTTCCCTCCCACCTGGTTTAGTGCTACTCTAACTCTTGTGTGTGTAACTTTGTGGAACTTGTGAGTTAATTGTGATTGAGTTAAGTTCTTGTGGCAGCATACCCCCTAGTGCGCCGAAAATCATAACTCGAGATATACTTCATGTTTCATTTGATACGATTCAAATTGGGAATGATAGCCACGGTCAAGGGCTATAACATACTCGAGTTTGAGACGATTCTAACGGTGAAATTTTTGGCGACGACGTTTCTTGTGGAATCGCAGTTTCTGTCCAGATATCCTAGCCAACGATTTTGAGAAATTTGGGCTCCTATTCTTCATAGACTCAATCCTCAATCTCTTTCAAGTGGTATCAGAGCTGATTGAGGACTTTGTGGAGAGTCTACTGAAGTGTGAAGACCCTCATAGACCCACCATGGCCTGTGGGCGTGCCTAAGTGGAGCTCTGGAGGTTGGGAGTGACTTCCGCTAAGGGGAAACTCTGCCGAAATTTCGTTGGCGCCGACATTTGTGAAAATATTGTGGGACTTCAGTGTGGACAGTTAAAGGGGGAGCTGAAACCTCTGATTGGGAGCAGAGGAGATGAGTGGAGAAGCAGCTGAGAAGAAGAGTGAGCCGCCACCATCCAAGATTGAGGCATTGGATGGCTCCAACTACGAGGAATGGAGCGGGCGGATGAGGAGCGTCTTCAAGCGCTACAAGCTGCTAAAATTGGCTATGGGAGAGGAGAAGATGCCCGAGGAAGGTGATGCCC